ATGCATGATGCAGCAGCATCGTTGTAGCAACAAAATGGTTTGACAATTGTCTTGTAACTGCTGTGGTACTAACGAGGATTACCTGTAGCTGGTTAACCAGTAATACATGCATAACCGTTAAGAATAAATGAGCCGTTAGCCGTTTGCACAACGGTTACTCGTTTACATTTTCACTCTCCATCGTTAGCATTTGAGGTACATGCGTGACAGGATCTGAGCCACCACTGTGAGTGTTGCGCACAATGGATGCATGCCAGTGTGACATTGCCCCCTTAGTAGAGCGGGTAGACATGGGACTATTACGAACCAGCTGTGAAACGTTGAGCAGGTGAGAACCTGCGTCCACAATACATGTTGTGGTGAGTGTATCTTGTAGTGTGCGACGTCACGGCATCTACAAAATGGTACGTGAACGTATGGTATGTGCCCTATATGGTATGTGCCCTATATGTCGGAGCCGTTTTGTAAACCGGTAAGATAAGCAGTTGGATGTTGGGCATGGTGATTTTGTTTTGCTGGCAGAGAACCATCGCACAGAGTCTGAATTCAGCAATCACCTGGCGTTCAAGCTGTTCATATTCGACTGCGCAAACCTCTTTGCCCTACCCGTCTACGTCGCCTTCTTCAAAGGAAGGTATGTTTCTTATTAGTAACTTGGCTAGCCATTACATTCGTTTCTGGACTGTATATATCCAACAGCTCTTGTGGCAGTTTTTCTGCTGTATTGGCCCCTGATGTATTAAAAAAACCGCATGATGTAGCGATGCATTGCATAGAATAATAATGATGTTACCTGCACAGTAACGATGTTCTGAGTGTTAGTGATGATGCCGTGGGCGTTAGTAGTAGGGGTGAAACGATTACACTCTTTGACTATCGAATAACCTAAACCTTTATCGATCGGTTATAGGTTATTTTTCGATCTTTTCTTCCACAGATAAAAGCCGTATTAGAAGCTGAAAAAAGCGAAAATTTAGAATTTTAAAATTGATCCTGTGGAGAAGAGAATTTTTCTCGCACATCGGTCGATCTATAATCATACATGTATGACCATGTATACTATATTCATAATTGAGCAATCGAAACTTTTTCGAATAATCGATTCGTTATAATAGCTTGTAACGATTTCTATTTTGAGTATTCGGTATAATCGTTTCACCCCTAGTTAGTAGTGATGTTGTTTGTGTTAGTATTGATGTTGTGAGCGTTCGTAATGATGTCGTAAGTGTTAGTAAAGATGTCGTGAGCGTTAGTAGTGTTGTCGTGTGTGTTAGTAATGATGTCGTGAGTGTTAGCAATGATGTAGTGAGTGCTCGTATTGATGTCATGAGTGTTAGTAATGAATCTGTGAGTGTTAGTAGTGATGTCGTGAGTGTTAATAATGATGTTACAAGTACGAGTGTTGGTAATGACGTTTTCAGTGTTAGTAATGATGTCGTGAGTGCTTCAGCTCTATCTCGAGTATGAGACACTTTGGGTCGAGTGACGTGAAGCCATTCTCAGTGAGGGTAGTAGTTTGGTTGATTTGTTTGTTAAAAATGAAGTCAATTGCAAAAAAACTATTTACAGCTGTCCATCTTGTCAGACTGCTATTTTGTTTGTGCTTATTTCCAGATTTGGTGGCTACCCAAATCATTTTAAACGGGGAATACTACCGTACCATGGACAACAGGTGAGTTCATTCATGGAAAGGATCAAATGGACTTAACTGAAAGGGGGCTCTGGTGAAAATCAAATTTTCAGTCGTCAAGAGTGAGCCCTGTGGCATATGAAAAAGAAGCAGCTATCGAAGATAAAGCTGATATGTAACTATACAGACACTTGAAAGCAGAGTCGATATCATAAGGGAGAGCAACGCAAATGCAGTAAAAAATAAATGTTGTTAGATGCCGAATCGCTTGGACCCCATCAGGTTGCCACATAATCATTTTGGATGTAAAAATGGGTATTTTTTGGATATTAACCCTTTCCGGACTGATGCCGCACATGTGCGTCAAAACGTCATACCCTGATTTCCTGATGCCGCATATGTGCGTCAAGTAAAAGCGCATACTTGTACAGTGCATATACATCACTGTTCAAATTGTCGTAACTCCATTGTCCTTTATCCGATTGTCGCGAATGATGGCTCATTGGAAAGGTGAGAGAATAAGCTTTCCAGTGGTATGTCGTTTGATAGCGCGGTGCGGAATCACTGAGTATCGAAGAACGAAACACGGATACGCTTGAAATTGTTTCGAAAATTTGTACGCAGAGCGCTTCAAAGTGCGTCGGCGTGCCTCAAACGGGGACTTTCCCAGTGACTCATCGCTGCACAGCGCATGCGAAGTAGAGATCAAATGAATCGCTTGAGCTTCATGAATCTGCAGGACTTTGAATCATCGTTCTACGTTGAGTAAAAATTGAGAAACGATAAAATTTGTGGAGGTGGGTACAGAATCTCGCTCAGGCGCAATAGGGCAGCTCTCAACAGGCTTGAAGGCGATTCTGTTGCTCCTGCCGGGTGTCTAGTGGCGATATTCAGAGAGAGAACATCTGTAGCTTTCCAATGCGACCAAAAAGAAATAATTACGAAACTGGTGAGTGAAATTAGATAATTTTCAAATGCATACTGGGACTATTGCGTATGGCAGGGCGGCCGGTGGCAGGAATCAGGAGATTTAGCACCAGGGCGCAAAAGGTTAAATGCCGCTGCTGGATTAAAAATATTATGTTTGGCTGCCTTGTGTTGGTTACATGGAGACGAATGGTCTTGGTTCAAAGAGGTTGCGGCAAGCCGTTCCCGGACAAACATGCTCAGAACGTTGGCCATTTTTACATTTTTAAGATGACTGTGTGACTAGCTGGTTGCAGAAACTGACGCCGTCACCGGATGAGGTAGAATACCTGCTCACTTTCAGTTAGGACTATCTGACGAAAGATGCATCGCAGCCTCCTCAGAACAAGACCATTCACCTTAGTACCCCAAACTCTACAAATCATGAGATTTGGAGATATGGGAGGGATGCTTTTGATTTGATTCTTTGCAAGACTCACGTGAGTTCAATGATGTGACTTTCATAGGGCACCGTCTATGATCCCAAACCATACTCGGGTCCACAAAATGGAGATTGAACTTTTGATCGCACTCTCCAAAAGCACTTGTTCTTTGTTCCATGTGTGCTTTAGTGTGGCGCGTTTGGCTGCATCCTGGAACTGGCTGAAACCGTCGGCATTGTTCTGTTTGGCAAACTGATACTAGATAAAGCCCTGGATATGCTTTCGTAAGTCACCCTTCACTAACCTTACTACATCGTGTCCATGCACGCATGCACGCTTGTGCTTTTAGTGATTGCGAAACTTTCTAAGCTTCTTGTGCTTATAAATACACTCATACATGTATCTCTCTTATCCGGGCAGTCCGGGACCAGGACCAGGTGCTGCCCATAACTTGGAAATGTTCCTAACTCTGAATCGTGTACGCTTTGATGAAGGGCCAGAGATCTGGCATATCACGTCACTATTTCCACAAATATTGGCAAAAGAATAGCATCGTTTCCACTAAAACTCACCCACAGGGTGCCCGGTAGACCAAGGTGCCTGTAGCTTGGAGGTTGGGATAAGAGAGTTGTGAGTGTAGCTTGGAGGTTCGGATAAGAGAGTTATGAGTGCACAATTGTCTAGCTGGCGGCAACACGGATGTGTGAACTTTTCTTTTCTCATGTTGTCCAAGAACAAGCTGTACAATGCAGAAACATTGTCTGGAAACGTAGATGGTTCATGTGGTCAAAACGGACAGTGTTTAACAGATTAAATCATTTACATGGCGGAAGTTCACGTGGCTTCCGACAGCGCCCCACCCAAAATCTACCATGGGATGTCCGAGTACACATTCAAGCAGTACCTGAACAACCACAAGACCTTCCGTCCCAAAAAGTACGAGAAAAGCACACGGCTGTCGAGATACATCTGGAAGTTGCAGGAGTCGAACAAGGCCTCCAGGATCCATTGGTCGATCAGGGCACGTCCCTACACAAATACCACCAAGAGGTGCGGCCTGTGTCTAACAGAGAAACGATACATCAGCAATGCAGACAAGGAAGCATCCCTTAACAAGTGCACAGAGCTGGTGTCAAAGTGCCGACACGAATCAAAGTTCTACCTCTGCCACTTTATAACCTAGCGCCCTTTCCGCATCAGTAGCACTCCAGGTTAGTGCCAACTTTCACCAAGCCCCAATGACAAGACTAGCATTTTCGCCTGTATTCTCCTCTGACCCGGTAGCGCCTTGGCTGGTGCCATAATTATATCCCCATGCCACCCGCATAGTACTACTGAAGTATGATTATGTTGTAACTCGCTTTTCTCCACCTGCTCCCAGTCCCGTGCCATCTCCACACTTATACAAATGGACGACGATAACTACATTTAGAGGACTGTTTATTGACACGACGAAGAAACACAACTAGACATGACGAACTCAAGACGAAGACAGCTTGAACTCTCAAGACGAAGACTGCTTTTCACACCACAGCAACACGCGCATGCACCAACATGACGTACACACGACGTACACAAAATAACGTACTACAACATAACTCCCTCCCAAGAGTAGAATCGTCCTCGATTCTAATAATAAAACAGAGTAAAAAGAGGAAAAGATCACACAAATCACTCAATCATACCACACCAGTCACACCCAGAAATAAAATACCTCTGCCTGCACTGCAGATCATTAAAAAAAACTCTGTCCGCCCACCCAGAACACCAGCCACGATCGCTGTCACACGTGTGGGAACTGATAACCTCAAAACTCTAACTAATGCTTTACTCAACACACCACCTCACGATCACGCAAAAATTCTAAAATGTGAGAGCACAAATCATAAGAATAACAAAAAGAACAGAATCCACTGGCTCTGTGGGGGCCTCTAGTTATCCTCATAGAAGAGCAAATCAAAAAACAAACAGAACACACGCGCTGTGCGGGCGCCTCTTTACCCTCGAGGAGAGCAAATAATAAAGAACAAAATGTTGGGAGAACAGAAAATACACAACTCACATACTCATCAGCGCCTCTTTACCCTCGAGGAGAGCAAATAATAAAGAACAAAATGTTGGGAGAACAGAAAATACACAACTCACATACTCATCACGTTCACAACAACACACGTACCCTCTCACCAACGAAACTCCTCACGCCGTCTGCCATGTCGTCCGCCATCTCAAGGAGCGCTGCTCGGCGTCGATATCCTTACTTCTGCAGCCTTCACTTTCCATCCTTCTTTTTTTTTTCTGTTTCAGTTTTTCTTCTGGGCACAGTTTTACGTCGTGTCCGGGACCATCCGTCCTTCTTCTTCTTCTTCTTCTTCTTCTTCTTCTTCTTCTTCTTCTTCTTCTTCTTCTTCTTTTTTTGCTTTTTTTTGCTCCAGTCTCTCCGGAGGCGTGGGTTCGAATCCCACCGCTGCCACCAATGTTGTAACTCGCTTTTCTCCACCTGCTCCCAGTCCCGTGCCATCTCCACACTTATACAAATGGACGACGATAACTACATTTAGAGGACTGTTTATTGACACGACGAAGAAACACAACTAGACATGACGAACTCAAGACGAAGACAGCTTGAACTCTCAAGACGAAGACTGCTTTTCACACCACAGCAACACGCGCATGCACCAACATGACGTACACACGACGTACACAAAATAACGTACTACAACAATTATACTGATCACTTACGTTGCCTTCTCGCTGAAACACTAGCATTGCATACCTGCCATTGGATAACACCTATAGTAGGGATCTCAGCGCGTGAACTGCGCAGCCAGTCTGCGCAGGTGAGATTTTCGATCCCAAACGCGTCCAGTGCAGAAACCGTGGAAAAGAACATTTTTTTCAAAATAAATCAAGTGGAAGAAGACAGTAGAAATGGCTGAATGTTGCGTCCAGGAAAGCACGTTCTACGGCCATCTCCAAGCTACCTATCTCCCAGACACGCTCTCAGAGGAACTATGAAGGGTCAAAGAGCACAATATTTCACTCTAGGACGCAGCGTGAACACCTCTTCTACTGAGCGCGATGTCTTCTCTCTGAGTGATAATGGCGGCGATCTTCACGATGGCTGATGCACTGAAAATCGAAGTTAGGACAATCTAACCGGAGAAAACGTCTGAATTTTTGGCTGAATCTTCTCTGAAGCGGGTTCTTGCCACATGGAAAATTATAGGAAAATCGACCGGGGCGATATCGCCTTGGCCACGCTGTCGTTTGGCGGGAATCACAAAGTATGTTTGAACGACGATGAAGATGACGATTCCGCTAGTGTCCACCGCGTCCGCTAGTGTCGAAAATCGACCGTCGCCATTTTCTGCTGTGTCCGCGAGCTGCACTCATAGCTCGATGACGCAATGTATGGGCAAACACCCTGCGCACTGCACGCGCTGAGATCCCTACCTATTGTGAATAAGGCCACACAACCCTGAGTATAGCCCCAGTCTCCTGAGGATTGATTTTCAGCATGAAACGCGTGAGTAGAGACATTTAATCATTTTTTTTATTCCACCGGATTTTCGTTTGTGCTAAGCTCTGCACGCTGTGTATTCAGCACTCAGCACTGTGACCGGTAGTATTGAAGGTTCTTCTGTGTTTCATGTTTAGTTGCTTGATGTGTTTTCAGAATGTCTCTATACTGCATACATGAGCTCTCTCGGTCAAGTAGCTTTTACTTCTGTCCTGCAGCTGGTGTTGGGCTAGATCATCCTTCTGCTGCCTTAAGGGGAGACCTGGAAACGGCAACAACAACAAGAACAGGAAACCTGAGTCACATGACCTTTGCGATGCTGAGCTGGGTGATGATGTCGGGGATGGATTAGAAGATACGACAACGCACCTACCCCAATGGGAAAGTGACTACAAGCTAACCCGGCCTAAACCACTTCACTGGCAGTATTTAGAAATGGGTAAGTAGTACTACTTGGTAATACAACGCTGCACATTGAAATCCAGCCATGTGACTTAGTATGTTGTCAGGCATTGTCTGTGCAGAATTGTCCAGATCCCGTGTCACTTCCTAAAATCCGTGTTGCCCTGCTCCAGATCCCGTGTCACTTCTTAAAATCCGTGTTGCCCTGCTCCAGATCCTGTGTCACTTCTTAAAATCCGTGTTGCCCTGCTCCAGATCCCGTGTCACTTCTTAAAATCCGTGTTGCCCTGCTCCAGATCCCGTGTCGCTTCTTGCAAACGTGGGAAGCTGCTGTAGCTGCTACTTCTCGAAGTACATTACATAGTAATACATACTGAACACTAGGATTGATTTTGCCGGTCTAGGCAGCTCGAGATAGAGTGCTCAATGCACAGATGTGCAGAGCAGTATCCACACACCCAGCACCCAGCACACCCAGCACACCCAGCACACCCAGCACACCCAGCACACACAGCACACCCAGCACACACAGCACACACAGCACACACAGCACACCCAGCACACCCAGCACACCCAGCACACCCAGCACACCCAGCACACGCAGCACACCCAGCACACCCAGCACACCCAGCAGAGCAGCACACCCAGCAGAGCAGCACACCCAGCACACCCAGCACACCCAGCACCCAGCACACCCAGCACCCAGCACCCAGCACACCCAGCACGCCCAGCACACCCAGCACCCAGCACACCCAGCAGAGCAGCACACCCAGCACACCCAGCACACCCAGCAGAGCAGCACACCCAGCACACCCAGCACACCCAGCACCCAACACACCCAGCACGCCCAGCACACCCAGCACACCCAGCACCCAGCACACCCAGCACACCCAGCAGAGCAGCACACCCAGCACACGCAGCACACGCAGCACACCCAGCACCCAGCACACCCAGCACACCCAGCACACGCAGCACACCCAGCACACACAGCACACACAGCACACCCAGCACACCCAGCACACCCAGCACACCCAGCACACGCAGCACACCCAGCACACCCAGCACACCCAGCAGAGCAGCACACCCAGCAGAGCAGCACACCCAGCACACCCAGCACACCCAGCACCCAGCACACCCAGCACCCAGCACCCAGCACACCCAGCACACCCAGCACACCCAGCACCCAGCACACCCAGCAGAGCAGCACACCCAGCACACCCAGCACACCCAGCAGAGCAGCACACCCAGCACACCCAGCACCCAACACACCCAGCACGCCCAGCACACCCAGCACACCCAGCACCCAGCACACCCAGCACACCCAGCACACCCAGCAGAGCAGCACACCCAGCACACGCAGCACACGCAGCACACCCAGCACCCAGCACACCCAGCACACCCAGCACACGCAGCACACCCAGCACCCAGCACACCCAGCACACCCAGCAGAGCAGCACACCCAGCAGAGCAGCACACCCAGCAGAGCAGCACACCCAGCAGAGCAGCACACCCAGCACACCCAGCACACCCAGCACCCAGCACACCCAGCACCCAGCACCCAGCACACCCAGCACACCCAGCAGAGCAGCACACCCAGCAGAGCAGCACACCCAGCAGAGCAGCACACCCAGCACACCCAGCACACCCAGCAGAGCAGCACACCCAGCACACCCAGCACACCCAGCACACCCAGTACACCCAGCACACCCAGCACACCCAGCACACCCAGCAGAGCAGCACACCCAGCACACCCAGCACACCCAGCAGAGCAGCACACCCAGCACACCCAGCACACCCAGCAGACAGTAGCAGAGGCGAAAGGCTGTGTAGCTGTAACTTTAAGTTCTTGCGCTGTGGTCTTGCGCTGTGGTCTTGCGCTGTGGTCTTGCGCTGTGGTCTTGCGCTGTGGTCTTGCGCTACTGTTCTTGCGCTACTGTTCTTGCGCTGTTCTTGCGCTGTTCTTGCGCTGTGGTCTTGCGCTGTGGTCTTGCGCTGTGGTCTTGCGCTGTGGTCTTGCGCTACTGTTCTTGCGCTGTGGTCTTGCGCTGTGGTCTTGCGCTGTGGTCTTGCGCTGTGGTCTTGCGCTGTGGTCTTGCGCTGTGGTCTTGCGCTGTGGTCTTGCGCTGTGGTCTTGCGCTGTGGTCTTGCGCTGTGGTCTTGCGCTACTGTTCTTGCGCTACTGTTCTTGCGCTGTTCTTGCGCTGTTCTTGCGCTGTGGTCTTGCGCTGTGGTCTTGCGCTGTGGTCTTGCGCTGTGGTCTTGCGCTACTGTTCTTGCGCTGTGGTCTTGCGCTGTGGTCTTGCGCTGTGGTCTTGCGCTGTGGTCTTGCGCTGTGGTCTTGCGCTGTGGTCTTGCGCTGTGGTCTTGCGCTGTGGTCTTGCGCTGTGGTCTTGCGCTACTGTTCTTGCGCTACTGTTCTTGCGCTGTTCTTGCGCTGTTCTTGCGCTGTGGTCTTGCGCTACTGTTCTTGCGCTGTTCTTGCGCTGTTCTTGCGCTGTTCTTGCGCTGTTCTTGCGCTGTTCTTGCGCTGTTCTTGCGCTGTTCTTGCGCTGTTCTTGCGCTGTTCTTGCGCTGTTCTTGCGCTGTTCTTGCGCTGTTCTTGCGCTGTTCTTGCGCTGTTCTTGCGCTGTGGTCTTGCGCTGTGGTCTTGCGCTGTTCTTGCGCTGTGGTCTTGCGCTACTGTTCTTGCGCTGTTCTTGCGCTGTTCTTGCGCTGTTCTTGCGCTACTGTTGCTATCGCCTTCGATGACTCGGTAACACTCCCTGTTATCGCCTCTATTCTCTCCTATATCCGTTAACTCTCACAAACAACTCAATAGCACTGTATCATTGCCACGTCTACACTTCACACATACACACTAACTTACACACTAGCATACACTAACTTAACCACTTCACACATACACACTAACTTCCACACTAGCATCAAATATCCAGGCCTGCTCATAGACGATTCGATAGGAAATGCTGCTGTCTGATGATCGCTGAAATGCGTGAAACTTGAAGTTACAACTACACAGCCTTTCGCCTCTGTTGCGTGTGTATGATACATGGTAGTATTCACCCAGGACATTTCCATTATTTCGGAGTATTTATTGGGAGAGCGGTCCAAAGTGCTCCTGCTCTTAGTAATGATAGTATGATAGTGATGATAGTATGATAGTATGATAGTATGATAGTGATGATAGTATGATAGTGATGATAGTATGATAGTATGATAGTATGATAGTATGATCGTGATGATACTGCTGATACTGCTGATACTGGTGATACTGGTGATACTGGTGATAACTCTGGAAAAGAACTGTGTTTACACTACTAGCTAAGCACCGACTAAACTGGGACTGAGATGCGGGGTAGAAGCACCGACTAGACTGGGACTGAGGTGCGGGGTAGAAGCACCGACTAGACTGGGACTGAGGTGCGGGGTAGAAGCACCGACTAGACTGGGACTGAGGTGCGGGGTAGAAGCACCGACTAGACTGGGACTGAGGTGCGGGGTAGAAGCACCGACTAGACTGGGACTGAGGTGCGGGGTAGAAGCACCGACTAGACTGGGACTGAGGTGCGGGGTAGAAGCACCGACTAGACTGGGACTGAGGTGCGGGGTAGAAGCACCGACTAGACTGGGACTGAGGTGCGGGGTAGAAGCACCGACTAGACTGGGACTGAGATGCGGGGTAGAAGCACCGACTAGCCTGGGACTGAGGTGCGGGGTAGAAGCACCGACTAGACTGGGACTGAGGTGCGGGGTAGAAGCACCGACTAGACTGGGACTGAGGTGCGGGGTAGAAGCACCGACTAGACTGGGACTGAGGTGCGGGGTAGAAGCACCGACTAGACTGGGACTGAGGTGCGGGGTAGAAGCACCGACTAGACTGGGACTGAGGTGCGGGGTAGAAGCACCGACTAGACTGGGACTGAGGTGCGGGGTAGAAGCACCGACTAGACTGGGACTGAGGTGCGGGGTAGAAGCACCGACTAGACTGGGACTGAGATGCGGGGTAGAAGCACCGACTAGACTGGGACTGAGGTGCGGGGTAGAAGCACCGACTAGACTGGGACTGAGGTGCGGGGTAGAAGCACCGACTAGACTGGGACTGAGGTGCGGGGTAGAAGCACCGACTAGACTGGGACTGAGGTGCGGGGTAGAAGCACCGACTAGACTGGGACTGAGGTGCGGGGTAGAAGCACCGACTAGACTGGGACTGAGGTGCGGGGTAGAAGCACCGACTAGACTGGGACTGAGGTGCGGGGTAGAAGCACCGACTAGACTGGGACTGAGGTGCGGGGTAGAAGCACCGACTAGACTGGGACTGAGGTGCGGGGTAGAAGCACCGACTAGACTGGGACTGAGGTGCGGGGTAGCAAAAAGGGAAATATCGTACAGTACAGAGCTAGCAAAGCAGTCGTGAGATGAGCCGCTTATGGCGTAGCTAGCTGCAGGCAGCAGGGCGAAAAACGGTAAAGTTTGGACAATAAAACAATGCACGGCAGCTTATAGCTCAGCTCCAGGCAGCGTAGTAAAGAACAGGAAACAAGCGAACGCCAAAAAGTACGCAGGGCAGTTCCGGTGTACATGCGTGTTAGCCCGGCTCTACATGCCGCAAGGTATCACTATACTATCACAAGGTATCACAAGGTATCACAAGGTATCACTATACTATCACATATACACTACATGTGTACAATGCATAGAAAAAGAGAGAGGCGGAAAGAGAGGCGGAAAGAGAGGCGGAAAGAGAGGCGGAAAGAGAGGCGGAAAGAGAGGCGGAAAGAGAGGCGGAAACAAAGCCTGGAGCTGGTGCAGGAACTTATGGAGCGCCACAAGCTGACTACACCAAAAAATGCATGGTTCAAAACTTGTCCTCCTGATTGCATTCACGACACATGGCTCCTCAGCCTCCTGCACTACAAGCAGTAGACTATGCACTCAAACACACTTTACACAGGGAGCAAATTTCAGCTACCAGCACTGTAGTACTGCTCGGTGTGCAGTGAATCTGAATCTCTCTCCCGCGGAGATCACGTGACTAGTTGCTGACAGTGAGCAAGTACAATGCAATGGGTGTTTGACATTTAAAAAAATTGTATATTTCCTTGTGTGTGTTTGTGTTTGTGTGTGTGTGTGGGGGGGGGGGGGGCGTGTGCGTGCGTGTGTGCATGCGTGCGTGTGTGCATGCGTGTATGTTTGTGTGTGTTTGCGCATGCATGGTGTGTGTGTGTGTGTTTGTATATGTTTGTGCGGGCATGTGGTGTGTGTATGCCTGTGCGGGCGTGTTAGTGCATATGTGTGTGTGTGTGTTTGTGTGTGTGCGCTCGCACGTGCACACGTGTATGTGTGTGCAAATGTGCGTGCACGTGTGTGCATGCATGTGTGTGTGTGTGTGTGTGTGTGTGTGTGTGTGTGTGTGTGCGTGTGCGTGAGTGTGTGCGTGTGTGTGTGTGTATGTGTGGGTGTGGGTGTGTGCGCGTGTGTGCACGTGTGCGTGTCTGCATGTGTGCGTGTTCGTGTATGTGTGTGTGTGTGTGTGTGTGTGTGTGTGTGTGTGTGTGTGTGTGTGTGTGTGTGTGTGTGTGTGTGTGTGTGTGTGTGTGTGTGCATGCGTGCGCACACGTGTACTTGCATATGCATATACGTGCATGTGTGCAAATGTGCATGTTTTTTAGTGATGCAGTTTGGTCTGATTACCATATTTGGCGTTGCCTTTCCACTGGCACCATTGATTGCCTTGGTGAACAATGTAATCGAGATACGACTGGATGCCATGAACTATGTCAAGCATACCTGTAGGATTGTTGCCAACATAGCACAAGATATTGGTAAGCAGGACATGGTCATTGTCTCCATGCTACTCACAGTATTGTATTGAACAGCTATGAGCTATGGACAGTATGGTGGTGCTTACCCACTGTGGTTCACGTATGCTTACCCACTGTGGTTCACGTATGCTTACCCACTGTGGTTCACGTATGCTTACCCACTGTGGTTCACGTATGCTTACCCACTGTGGTTCACGTATGCTTACCCACTGTGGTTCACGTATGCTTACCCACTGTGGTTCACGTATGCTTACCCACTGTGGTCCACGTATGCTTACCCACTGTGGTTCACGTATGCTTACCCACTGTGGTTCACGTATGCTTACCCACTGTGGTTCACGTATGCTTACCCACTGTGGTCCACGTATGCTTACCCACTGTGGTTCACGTATGCTTACCCACTGTGGTTCACGTATGCTTACCCACTGTGGTTCACGTATGCTTACCCACTGTGGTTCACGTATGCTTACCCACTGTGGTTCACGTATGCTTACCCACTGTGGTTCACGTATGCTTACCCACTGTGGTTCACGTATGCTCAGTGGCGGATCCAGGATCCGAAACAAGGGGGGGGGGGGGGGGTTGGGGCACACTACAGGCTCAATGGAACAAGTTTACTTTTACAATGACTTTTGTGATACTCGAACATGTAAATGTATGACAATCCATGTCCTCGGCTGACGACGCTGCGATCTGCTCCGTGGGGGGGGGGGGGGGGGGACTGGACTCTACGACATTTACAACATCCTCACGAGCGGCACATCCACTAGCAGCTGTCCTAGCTTCCTTCGCAGGTGGCAGCGAATCAAACAAGGTAAGTTGCTTCCTTCTCTTCATTTTCGAACTGCTGTAAAACAACAACGAGGTACTGGAACGCCAAGGCAAGTGAAGTTTGCAAGGCAAGGGCAGGAAAATCTACGCATTGCCATGCGAAGTTTTGGACTGTGTACTTGCACTTGTACCGTCTTTGTTTTCGTACTACAAGTACAGTGCAGTACTAGACCAAAACCGTAGTTCTGGTGCGCACGGATCGCGGATCGCGGAATACAGATCGACGCGACGAGAGTTGACAGTTCACAAGTTCAGTACACGCGTACCGCGTATCGATCTACGGACCCAGTGAACCAGTGCATGAATGTGTACAGTGCATGCAGTACAGCGACTGGGCCTTGTCATCTACACAGGAAGTGCGCGCGAGCTCGGTTTCGATCGAGATCAGTAAAAAAAAAAGTCGGTCGGCGCTTCTGAAGGGGGGCACGTGCCCCCTTCGCCCCCCCTCTAAATCCGCCACTGATGCTTACCCACTGTGGTTCACGTATGCTTACCTACTAGAATATTGTCTGAGAGGTATATTGGCACGATGTTGGTATGGTGTTGGTATGGTGTTGGTACTGGTATGGTGTTGACATGGTGTTGGCATGGTGTTGACATGGTGTTGGCATGGTGTTGGTATGGTGTTGACATGGTGTTGGCATGGTGTTGACATGGTGTTGGCATGGTGTTGGCATGGTGTTGACATGGTGTTGGCATGGTGTTGACATGGTGTTGGCATGGTGTTGACATGGTGTTGGCATTGTGTGCACTGTTTTATCTCTCAGCATCTACAGTTGTTTCCTTTGGGTTGCAGTTCCTTTCCTCCTTCTTACCGCTATACATTATTGCTGTTGTCGTGTGTTCATTTAGTTTTGTTGGACACTGTCTGCACAAGTCAGTGTCTGAACACATGTGAGTTTGAGACTTAGAGGAGACAGAAATGTTTCGTTCTTGTTGCGTTTGAGTTTCTGTTGTGCCTGCTAGGGGCGAAAGGCTAGTGGGCTTGAGGCTAAGACGTTCTCGCCCTCCAGGCCAGTCACCATTATCTTCTGCTGTGTACCTCTCATTACAGGTACAGGTGAAATCCTGATAATTCGAACCTCAAAATGCCAGGAAAAAACTTCTAATTATCCGGACATTCTAATTATCCAAACATGAACCCACAACACAATATGTATGTCAACATGCTCTCATGGTCACGCAGATTTGCTCTATGGACCTTAGACACAAATTTTACGGACACTGAACTGACCAGCACAGCCTGCTCATGCAAACTGAACTGACCAGTACAGTGTACAGTGAACTTCGAATTACACTTTGCTAACTTCGAATTATCAGCACAAATCCCACACATTTTCTATGTAAGTGGAATCTGTGGGACTTCTAATTAACCGGACATGTCCAGTTCGAGGTTTGAATTATCAGAAAAATTTATGTGGGAATCGTATTGATAGAAATCGGTCCTGGAAAAACTTCTAATTAAGCGGTATGTTCGAATTAAGCCATATTCGAATTAAGCCATATTCGAATTATCAGGATTCCACCTGTATATGGTTTACACTGCTGGACCTGCTAACCAAGGTTGCAGTCATCATTATCTTCTGCTGTGTACCTCTCATTACAGGTATATGGTTTACACTGCTGGACCTGCTAACCAAGGTCGCAGTTGTCACAACGGTGAGCGTTCCAACTAAAAAAACTCTTGTAACTTCTGGGAATTGAGTGGTCACAAAATGAGGGTGCCTACCTGCCACCCGGAAACTCAGTTAGGTAATGCTTACCTATGGTGCATTTTTTCATTTTTTGGCCCCCGCTTACAGCACACACTGTAGCTCTGCTGTAGTGCAGGCATCCAGCACCGTGCTCTGTTTTACAATGTAGGTTTAACACAGGCTCTGCTGTAATACAGGCATCCCACACTCATCTGAATACTCACACCATCTAAAGTGAGACTGCTGTAGTGCAGCCATCGCACCACCCAACTGTAAAGGTTCTCTGACTTCACTGTCTCTGCTATACGACAGGCACCCAGCACCCAGTGCTCAACTGGAATTAACACACCGGCCTAGCTGTGACACAGATTTTCAATTTTTAAAAGCATTACGAGTGATTTATTGTATATTGACATGTGCTATGTGCATGTATGTCAAAATACAGCTGATATAATTCCCCACCACTTGCGCAATGCCATTCTCACTACAGATCACGCAACATTTTTGAGAGAGAGAGAGAGAGAGAGAGTGAGAGAGTGAGAGTGAGAGGAAATTAAATTATGTTTGTTGATATCAAATTCAGCTACCTCTGAAGGCAGGAGCCAAGCATTCTCTGTGGAAGTTTTGCCTGGTGCTGGGCTTCAAATCTGTTGACGAAATCGCCAAGTTTAGCAACGTCCGTTGCCACAGTAGCCAAGCCATGCTGAAACATACTGTAGCATGCAAGCACTGCAGCGTTCATCTTTATGACTGGGCTTGTGCATGTGTCTGTGGGTGGGTATGATTCACTGATATGACCAGAAAATCCACATACCTGGTTAATCAGCTGTAAATTATGGGAAAAACAGACTTAAAATAGTGGCTGAGAATTCATCGGCGGTCACGCAAGCTGTTGACTGGTGTAATCCCAGCGCAAGTAAAAAAATGGAAAAATGAAAAATGAAAAAATAGGGATTTACTGGCCAGAAGCTTTACTTTTCTGGCCAGTGAATCCCACTTCAATCAGCTGTGCGGTGGGTACCAGGCTAAAACTAGTGGCGGTCAATTCATCAGCCTTGCAAGCTGTTGAATGGTGTAATCCCAGCACAAATTGCTATGTCTAACATAGCTGTCCGCTATCATCGCTTTCGCAATGGGCATGTGTGTGTGTGTGTGCGTGTGCGTGCGTGTGTGTGTGTGTGTGTGTGTGTGTGTGTGTTTTTTTCTCTTTCTCAGACTCTTGATTTTTCTTTCATTCTCCTGGGTGGTCACCAACAGCTAGTGCATGCCGGAGTATGTAGTGTGTGTGCTCGGGAAAAAATATGAAAAAGACCAAAAAGTAGGGATTCACAGGCCAGAAAAAGCCACTTCATAGCTGTGTGGTGTAGACCAGGCTGAATAGTGGCGGTCAATTCTTCAGCCTTGCAAGCTGTTGGATGGTGCAATCCCAGCACAAGCTGCTATGGCTTCTACTGTAGCATCGCTATCATTGCCTCCGGCGATGGGCGTCAAATGGTCAAATGGTCAAATGGTGTGTGTGTGTGTGTGTGTGTGCGTGTGCGTGTGCGTGTGCGCGTGCGCGCGTGTGTGTGTGCGTGTGTGTGTGTGTGTGTGCGTGTGTGTGTGTTCGCTAGTTCGGTTGGTGGGTACACTTATGCCAGATAGTGTTGGGTCTGTTGCCAACAGGCTCGGCTGCTTGAAGGTGAATTGTTCTACCTACCACCTGTTTGGTTTCAGGGTTCATATGCTTTCTATTTGAAGTACCTATACATGCCTGTTAACCATGGACTGTTTCTGGCTAGATTAACTCTTGTGTAATCAATGGTGCTAGTGAAGCTTATATGAGCCAGCGCACGCGAAAATCGACCTTAGTGACACGCACTTCAAACTGAGAAAACGCACTTCAAACATTCTCTGTTTTCGTGTGATGTGCGATATATCAGGTAAAATGCTCTATCTTCTAAGACCCGTAACTCAAGTTTTACTCAAGATTTTTTCAAACGTTTTTCTGCATTGAGTTCTGCATAAATCCATCTGCCTTTATCCACTGTCATCTCAGTTTCTGAAAATATGTCACTAAGGGTGATTTTCGCGTGTGCTGGCTCATATCAGATCCGCTCTGATTCAGCCACCCACACTAGTAGCAAGTATCACCTTTCCTGGGGGCAGGGGTAACTGCAGTTGGATCCCAGGACGGATACCCTGATGCCGTCAATCCTTTTTCTGCACCTTGTCCTCACCCACTTACTGAGGTGTGGTGAGCCCATAAGTAG